GTCTAGTTGTCAATTGAGATTACTTGGCACAATCACTCATTGGGGTTCTCATCTTCATTGTTTGCCAGCTTAACATTTGAAAATTGATAAAATTTATATACATGGGGGAATTGTGGAAGGATATTTTTGGGTACAGTTGGTCCTCTGTATCTGTGGGTTCTGCCTTTATGGGTTTAACCAGCCACAGATACAAAATATTTGGCAAAATATTGTGTCTGTACTGAATATGTATAGATTTTTTTCTTGTCATTATTTCCTAAACAATACAATGTAACAGTTATTTATATGGCATTTACCTTGTATTAGGTACTATAAGTAAACTTAAAAGTGATTTAAAATATATAGGAGGATATGTATAGGTTCTATACATTTTACTTTTATTTATTACGCAGTACTGGGGATTGAACCCAAGGCCTTTGCCCTGAGCTACATCCCCAGCCTATTTTAGATTTTTTAAAATTTTGATTTGTTTGCTCACTTGTTTTTACAACAGGTTCATTTATGTATTTCAGGTTGTCCTTTGATTGACTATGAATGTAGACAGGCTGGCCTCAAACTTGCAGTGATCCTTCTGCCTCAGCATCCTGTGTGCTGGGATATTCCACACCTGGAATATTTTTTGAGACAGGGTCTTGCTATATTGCTAAGTTGCTCATCCTTTAGCCTCAGCTTCCCAGGGTGCTGAAATTATAGGAGTGCACTGCATGCCTGTCTGTTTCACCATTTTATATAAGTGACTTGAGCTTCCATGGATTTTGATATGGGGTGGGGGATCCTGGAGCCCGTGTCCCCCAGATACTGGGAGATGACTGTATTTTCATATGTCTGTGTGAACTAGGTTCTAATATAGTTTTCCTCCTTTCTCTATCATTTCAGAGTTTTCTAAAGCTTGTATTCCTAACTCCCTATCCTCTTCCCTAACTACTACTTTGTTTTTCTCCCTGTGATGCTGGGGATGAAAACCAGTGCCTTGCACATGCTAGGCAAGCGCAGACTCTGAAGTACAACCCCAGCCCTAGCCTCTGGCTCTTGTGGAGCCCTTCCCTGCTCCTCTTCCCCTCTCCAGAATGGTCTTGGCTTCCTCTGTGTCCTCCATCTCTTAGCTTAGGGATGAGGACATCCTCCTCAAATGTTAGAGCCTCATTTTTGCAAAATCTTCCTTTGAGTCTGTGCTATCTGATTTTCTCTCACCAAGGATGTTGGTACCTTGTGGCTTTCCTGTGTTCCCCACGTCCTCCACCATCTTTGTGGCTTTAGGTATAGAGGCCAGAAGCTAGGGTCTCATCCTTTAATCTTCCTTCTCCAGACCTCCCACATCTAATTAATTACCAAATCTCATTAAATCTTCCTAATCTTCCTAACCCACCCACTTTTCCCCATACCATTGCTTCTGCTTTCTTTTCTTTTCAGTACTGGGGATCAGACTTGGGTCCTTGTGCTTGTGAGGCAGGTGGCATAACTGCTGAGCTAAATCTCCAGCACTCACTGCCTCTGCTTTAAATCAGGGTTTTATTATTTTGGGCCTTGTGTTCCTGAAATGGTCTCTTGTCTCCTTTGGTTAATGAAAACATGTACTCACTACTGATTACATACTAGGTGTTGGAAGAGCGTGGTAAGTGAAGCAGGATGACTGCTACTGTCTCACATAGGGACTCTGTAATATGAGCACCACAGGGAGCTTAGGGCCTAGAGCAGGCTGCCAGAGGAAGAAGCATCTCAGAGCCCTGGAAAATGATGAGGATTCAATCTGAGGAGTTACTGGGGAGGTGAAGGAAGAATATTCCAACTTAGAGACTACTCCATGTGAAAGCTGCAGATTGAGAGTATGCTGAGTTGGTATCTTTTGGGGCCTTGAGAGTCAAAATGGTGGAATGCCATTGGTGGGAGTAGGGAGGTAAGAGATGAGTCTTGAGTGGTAGGTTAGGGATGGACACCTTTGTAAGGATGGGTCACTTGGAGTCACTGAAACATTTATTTATTGTTATTTATTTATTTTTTGAGACATGTCTTGCTGTGTAGTTCAGACTGGCGTTGGACTCACTGTGTAGCCCAGGCTGGTCTTGAACTAACTCACTGCGATCCTCCTGCCTCCCAGGCACTGGGATTGCAGGTGTGCGCTACCATGCCTGGCTCCACTGAAATATTTTCAGGGGCTGGGAATTTAGCTCAGTGGTTCTGTCGCCTGCCTCGCAAGTGCAAGGACCTGAGTTCGATCCCTGGTACTCCCCCCACCAATATTTTTTTCAACAGGAGAGTGACTTTGTACAGAATTCAGACGTGATTCTTAGATCTTGGGGGCCTCCATGTGACTGCAAGTGTGAAGAATGGGTGGGCAGGTTGGAGCGTGAGGTGAGGGTAGACCCAGTGAACACGTAGAGTGCAGCAGAAATGCCAGCAAGAAGGCAGTGGTTTGTACTGGGTTCTTCCGAGTGGGAACAAAGAGGAGAGGACAGATTGAGGGAAACCTAGAGGAGGAACTGGCAGCTTTGATCCTGAGTTGGGCCAAGAAATGGGGGAAGGAGTAGTGATGGTCAAGGCTGGTGTGCACATTCCAAGCTTGAAAACGGTGTGGGGCCCAGGAGGACCAGCAGGCATGAAGAAGGGAGATGCTGGGCCTTTTAGGAACAAAGAGAGTTTGTGGGATGCCTCAGAGGAGCTGTCCTCCAGGCAGTTGGCTGTATAGATTTAGAACAGTGGGGTAAAAATTGAAGCCATTGCTGGATGACAGCTCTGTGAGGGTAACCACATAACTGATGAAGGGCTGGCACGTTCTGTTTAAACAGTTTCTGCAAATCAGTAAGAAAAATGATAACGTGGTTAAAAAAAGTGGGAAGAAAATATGAAAAGTTTACCCAAATGACTGATAAATATATAGAGATGTCTAACCTTACTTTATAGTGATGATAGAATTGCAAATTTATGCCATGACAAAAATACCATTTTATAGCCTTCAAATTGAGAAAAATTTAATATCTGATAGGTCAAGAGGATAAAGCCCACCAAACTGAATGACCTTCCTTCTACCCATCCATACACCTGCCCACCCTCTCCCTCCCATTCTTTTTGTGGTACCAGGGGTTGAACCCAGGGGTGTTCTATCACTAAGCTACATTCCCACCCCACCCTTTTAAAAATATATCTATATTGGAGATTGAACCAGGGTCTTCATATTGAATTATATCCTAAGCCCATTTTTTATTTTGAGATAAAGAATTGCTGAATTGCCTAGTCTGGGCTCAAATTTGGTGTTCTCCTGTCTCAGTCTCCCAGAATGCTAGTATTACAGGCTGTGCCACCACACCCTGCCCCCATCATCCCTTTACTTTTTTTTTTTTTTACTTTGAAACATGTTCTTCCTAAAGTACTCAGACTGCCCTCAAATTTGCCATCCTGTCTCAGCCTTCTGAGTAGCTGGGATTACAGTCATGTACTACTGCATCTGACTACCAGGTTCTCTTACACACTGATGTGAAGAGAGTAAGTAAGTTACGATGAGTACTTTGGAATCACATTTGATGTTATCTCAAAGTTGGTGATATACATAACACAGAAACCAGTGATTTTACTCTCCAGAAGACACTGTAGAGAAACCCTTCCCCATGTTTCAGAATGTCAAAGCCAAAAGATAGAACCATCATGACTGTCTGTAGGAGAGGGGTAGATCAGTGTGGTACCCTGTGGAGCAGAGTACTATGCAGCAGTGTCAGTGTGCACCCCCCCACCGTGCCCCATGTAACTATTTTCCTAAAGAAATGTGTGAGCTGCACATGTTGGTGCATGTCAGTAATCCCAGCACTTGGAGACTGAGGCAAGAGGATTGCTGCAAGTTTGAGGGCCAGTGTAAGCTATATAGTTCAAGGCCAACCTGAACTGCATTAGTGAGACCCTGTCTCAGGAAGAAAAAGAAAAAAAAAAGAAACGTGTGAGAATGGTAAATTAGGACAGTGTTACCTCCAAGGGAAGATTTGTGCTTGGAAAGGGATTTTTAACATTATTTTCCTTAAACCAGATGAGGTCACTGTTTGTTTGTTTTGGTAATGGTACTGAAGATTGAATCCAGTGCATTGTGCTACATCCCTAGCCTTTTTTTTTTTACTATTTGAGACAGTGTCTTGCTAAATTGCTGAATTGTCCTGGTGTGTGTGTGTGTGTGTGTGTGTGTGTGTGTGTGTTTTGTTTTTTTTTTTTTGTACTGGGGATCGAACTCTGGTTCTTGTGCTTGTGAGACAAGTGGAAGATCCACTGAGCTAAATCCCCGGCCCTCCCTGGTTGGGTTTGAACTTGGGTTGTGATCTTCCTCCTAGAGTTATTGGCATGCACTGCCAAGCCCAGAAGTTTTATGTATTTATTTATTTTTAAGATCTTTGCTGTTAGAACTATTTGTTTTTGCAGTACTGGAGGTCAGTCTCAAGGCAAGTATTCTATCACTGATCTGTACTCCCAGCCCTAATCTTTAAAGAATAAAATGGGGGCCGAGGATTTAGCTCAGCGGTTCGGTGGCCTGCCTTGCAAGCGCAAGGACCTGAGCTCAATCTCCAGTACCCGCCCCAAAAAAGAATATAATGGAAATAAGAATAAAATGGAACCTAGTAGATGTTCAGAAAATATTTATATTATTATTATTGTTGTTGTTTTTCTTTTTGGTCCTGGGGATTGAACTTAGTACCTTGTGCTTGTGAGGCAGGCACAGTGCCACTGAGCTAAATCCCTGGCCCAAATATTTATATTATTGGTTGTTTTTTTTTTTGTTTCTGGGTTGGGTTTATTTATTTCTTTATTTGTGTTTAAAAAGTATGAACCTATATGGCTCTTAGTGGCCTAAATCTGATATTTAAGGCTGAGTTGGAACATTGAAGATTCACTTCTTTATTTATACCCCATCTGCTTTCTCCTGTCTGGTTAACAACATGGTCTTCCTCTCTTTTGTAAAATGCTAGGGGCATGGGCTACTGACTCCTTTCCCCTGCCAGTGACCCTGTCATTCCCGTATCTCTGTCTAGGTCCCTGTCCTTCGAATGGTGGAGGGTGATACCATCTACGATTACTGCTGGTATTCTCTGATGTCCTCATCCCAGCCAGATACCTCCTAGTAAGTGATGTCCTTTGCCCTGTACACCCCCGCAACCCCATTCAAGGGAATCCTCCACTGAGTGTCAGGTCTGCCAAGGATGTCAGGAGAAGGAAAGTTCATGTGTCCTTAAATGGGAGCTGAAAGGGCTGGTCAGTTGGCTTCCTCCCCTTCCTTTGACAGTGCCAGGGCCTCAGTGTCCATGTCTCTCTCAGCGTGGCCAGCAGCAGCCGGGAGAACCCAATTCACATCTGGGACGCCTTCACTGGAGAGCTCCGAGCTTCTTTTCGTGCCTACAATCACCTGGTATAAACTTGCCTGCCCACCCTGGCTTTCCTCCTGCCTCAGCTCGTTCCTTAAGGACGGCCGAGGCTTTGCAAAGAGCTGTACTTAGCCCTTTCTTTCCCCCAGGATGAGCTGACAGCAGCCCATTCACTCTGCTTCTCCCCGGATGGCTCCCAGCTCTTCTGTGGCTTCAACAGGACTGTGCGTGTGTTCTCTACATCCCGGCCTGGCCGAGACTGTGATGTGCGAGCCACCTTTGGTAAGCATCTATGCCTCCAAGGGAGGAGAACCAAGGGTAGGGGCCTTGTGTGAGCCAGGGGCCACCTGTGGGGTTTTGCTTTGCTCTCAATTTAGCTTGGGAGGCAGGTTGTACCCAGTTGCAAAGGAGAAAGCAAACTTAGACTTGAGGGAAGCTTTCCTAGGGTCATCCAGCTCATTGGAGAACTGATTCACTCCTGAACCCATGCCCTGTGAACTCTGTACATTTTGGTCTCCAAAAGTCTAATCTCAAGCAGGGTTTGATGGTACATGCCTATAATCCCAGCATGTGGGAGGCTGAGGCAGGAGGATTGCTATAAGTTCAAGGGCATCATGGGCTGTGTAGTGAGTTCAAGGCCAGCCTGAACTGCATGGTTAAGAATCTGTCTCCAAAAAAAGAAAAAAAAATTTTTTCTAATCTCTAGAAATTTTATTATTTTTCTGTGGTGCTGAGAATGGGACCCAGGGCCTTACAAGTGCCAGGCCATGCCAGTGATGTACCACTGAGTTACACCCTAGCCTTCTAGAAAAGAGATGAAATTGAGTCCATTTCCTGTAGACCTTTGGCTTTCTATCCCTTCCAGAAAAAGCTGGGATTCGAGAGGGAAGATAAAAGCCTTGGGCATTTAGATGCTTTGAGAAGATAGAAGGAGATATGAGAAACATCAGAGGTCTTTTTGGGGGAGGGTTGAAACAGGGTCTCCCTATGTAGTTGAGATTGATGTGGAACTCACTATGTAGCCCAGGCTGGTCTCGAACTCACAGCGATCCTCCTGCCTCAGCCTCCCTAGTGCTGGGATTACAGGCGTGCACCACCACACCCGGCCATCAGCATTTGTGCTGCTGGTGACAAACAAGATGGGAGAAATGTTGAGTCTAGCATGTTGGTGTTAGGGCAGGGACTGTGGTGTACCTCTGCTTCTAATGCCTGGTGCTACTGTCCTTTCTTCCACATTGTTTCTTCCCTCTCTAGCAAAAAAGCAAGGCCAGAGTGGCATCATCTCCTGCATAGCCTTCAGTCCCACCCAGCCCCTCTATGCCTGTGGCTCCTACAGTCGTTCCCTGGGCCTGTATGCCTGGGATGATGGCTCCCCTCTTGCCTTGCTGAGTGGGCACCGAGGGGGCATCACCCATGTGTGCTTTCATCCTGATGGCAACCGCTTCTTCTCAGGAGCCCGAAAGGTAGGGGATCACATGCTGGGAGTCCAGAGCAGGTAGGTGGGTAGTAGTGTAGGAGTGGGGATACAGTCTGCCGTGTGTTGGGCAGTGTCAAGATTTAGGCAAGTAGGGACTTTAAGGGGTGCGAGACAGACATTCCAGGCCCCGTTTTGTATTTTTAGGATGCCGAACTTTTGTGTTGGGATCTCCGTCAGCCCAGTCACCCACTGTGGTCCCTGAGTCGGGAGGTGACCACTAATCAACGCATCTACTTTGATTTGGACCCGTGAGTAGCCATGGCCCCTTCCTGCCTAAGACTCTGATGCCCCAGTGATGCCAGAGCTGGACTGTAGAGTCCCAGCCCTGGCTGTCAGTTTTCCGCCCCAGGGGCAGTGCTTGTGAGCCAGCAAGTCTTCCTCTCCCAGGAGCGGGCAGTTCCTAGTGAGTGGCAGCACCAGCGGGGCTGTCTCTGTGTGGGACATCAGCGAGGCTGACAGCAATGGGAAGCCAGAGCCAGTCCTGAGTTTTCTGCCGCAGAAGGATTGCACCAATGGAGTGAGGTCTGCAGTTCTCTTCCATGGGGCTTGGGAGGAAGGTGATGCCTGAGGGAGCCAGCATCCCTGCTCCAAGACTCACAGACTCTTGGTTTCTCCCACCAGCCTTCATCCTAGTCTGCCTCTGCTAGCTACTGCCTCTGGTCAGCGTGTGTTTCCAGAGCCCACTGAAAGTGGGGATGAAGAGGAGCAAGTGCTAGACCTTCCCCTGCTCTCCCTGCGCCATGTCCACCTTGAGTATCGGCTTCAGCTCTGGTGGTGTGTGGGGGATCCAGACCCCAGTAACCCTGATGACCACCAGGGTGAGACCAGACGAGGAGGGATAGAGGGAGGTGGGGGTGAGCTTATATAAAAAGGTTTTGTATGATACTAGAGTCTTTGTGTCTGTTTGGGGAGGCAAATGGCAAATGACAGAGGTGTGGGCTGGGTACTAGTGGATTCCCTTATCCTACAGCAGTGTGACTGGCTTACTGTTCCATAAACCAGGGGTTGAGAGGTGGGACTAGGCAGGAGCCAATGGAATGCTGAGCTGGTGTGAAGTCAAGTGGGTGGGGGTGGGGCTTCGTGCCATTGACTGGGTGGTTGCTAGGCAACTTGGTAAACTGAAGGGGGGGACCTGTTTGAAATCTCTCTTCCAGGGTGGGGGCAGCAGGGATCAGGTTGAGTAGGGCTGAGCAGGAGTGGCAGGAGCTCCTTGTCAGACTGTTGGATGTGACTGTGAGACTGCAGACAGTGACAGACAAGACATCCGCTCACTCACACTCCACACTATTTACCATCATCCAGCAGCAGAGGGACCGTTACTCAGCTCTGGGGAAGGGGAAGGTGAAAGGGTGGCATAGCAGTCCACTCCCCTCCCCTGGACTTCTCCAAGAGGCAATTAGCCCAGTAACCAGAATCAAGGACACACAGTGAAGAGTAAAGGTGCTGGAAATACACAGACGTCACCTTTGTTACCTTCCATCTTCCCATGAGATGCAGGACAAGGGCTAGGGGCGTACTCACTCAGCAGCTAGCCCCATCTTGTTTTCCCATCTGCTTTCCTCCCTCCCCACACACACCTTGCCAAAAATTGAGAAGGGGGTCTTTGAAGAGAAACGGTCAGCAGGGATGTGATTGGGGACCTCACAATCAAAGGGAAGGGGAAAATCTGGGGAATCCTGAGCTGGGAGAGGAATGTTGCCCCTGCCAGGAGGTGCTGAAAGCCCGGGTTCTTACACTCCAAAAGTCAACTCCTCCCTTCCCCCAGGATAATTGGAAACAGCACTTCCTGAAGAGTGTGGTCTTGGAATTGTAGGGTACCCCTTTTCCTCTCTCAGCCCCACCTCTCTTCACAACCACCTAAGAAGGGCCCAAGTTTACTTTTAATTTCCTCCCTTTCACCTAACCCTCAGATACCAGTAAAGGATCTAGGAAGCAGTGACAAAAGAGACCCTAGGAATGGGAGTTCAGCACCCTGTGTTTGGCTTGTAACTTTATTCTAGATTTCCGTGTGACCTTGGGCAAGTCACCAGGTCCTCCCTGACCCTCGGTTCTTCAACACTACAATGGGATTAGTAGCTCTGCCCCTCCCACTTCACACAGGTAGTCGTGACGGTCAACTCAGCTGCACTTTGTGAAGCGCCTAGCTTCAAGGTTATTCTCGCCAATGCACCTGGGAGCAGCCTGGGAGCAGTGGTGGTGTTTTGGGATGGAGGAGGAGGAGGCTGCGGGAGCGAAGTGGGGTGGGTTCCTTGGGGTGGAAAGGACGATAGCCTTTCTGGATTTTAGAGAAGAAGGTTCCAACCGATCTGGAGGTCGCAGGGCAGGAGGGGAGACAGGCGAAAAGTCAGCTAGAGACGGAGACTGAGAGACAAACCGGGCGCGAGAGACTACGCCAGGCAGCAAGGCAGGG